ACTGAACACACACACACAAATCATTAAAATAAGTCCAGCCGCTTACGAGGAGTTCAGTGACATAAATATGTACAGACGAATTATATATATAAAGATATGTATAGGGTAAAATCACTGGAACCAGTGAACATAAAAAAAATATTTCCACCATTTGAAAGACAATAAATGGACACAAATATTATCGTTATGGCACGGATGCCATCTTAGGAATTTTCTTGATAAATTTGGGAAGAAAAAAATTTACAATGGAAGTGTTTAAGGCAAATTTAAAACAAAACAAAAGATTTGGTTTGAATTTAGTGAATTTTAGCGGATTTTAGTGGGTATTAGGGGATTTAGGAGTATTTTTTTAAAATTGGTAACACTGCATAACGGGTATACATTATTATGGCCGCAATAGCTCATTGTCCGGGCGCTCGTTTTTAATTCGATATACTCTAGCGATCTCAGTTCAATTCCTTGTTAAAATTCTAAATTTGTATAAACATGGCTAAAATTTTTTTCTAAATGTTTTAAATAAACAAATAATTAAATAAAAACAGATAAAAGTCATAAAATATCTTCACTCCGTTCGCTTAAACCAAACCAGTGTCAATAGTCTAGGCCAGTGCAGAAGAGAATCTATAAGAGACTAGCGACCCGCCCCGGCTTCGCACGGGTGCAATGTATTGTACATATAAACCTTCTTCTTGACTCACTCTATTTAGTTAAAGAAAACCGCATCAAGATGCGTTGCGTAGTTTTAAAGATCTTAGCGTACAAAGAGACAGACAGCGGGACGACTTTGTTTTATACTATGTAGTGATGCACAGCAAAGAGACGTTGTTTACATTTTAAGTGACATTTTACCACAGTCACTCACTTGTTTTGCCTTCCCAGAACCCCTCCACTAACACCTAAACTTTATGGTAAGGTATTAAAGTTCAAGTGAAACAAGGATTCATTTATATATATATATATAGATTCCATTCATTCCATTATGCATTCCTTAGTCAGTCAAGGTCGTAGTAGACGCGTTATGGGAAATTGTCGCTCCTTGTTACTTCAACATTTCGACTACCGCATCCGATCAGGGTATAGTACAGTACTTGAAATAGACAGAGTTAAGTAATGTCAGGCCATCTTAGTCCACTGCTGCAAATATGGCACATGATTCCATCGACTTCTCGCACATTTGCCACAGGTCGCAGCTCCATCTGTGGGTTGTGAGACGACCAATACGATATTGCCACTCGAGACTTACTCCTTCGGCTGTCAGCTCCACGAGCGATAAGGCCGGCCAATTGCCACTTCAGATTTCTAGTCTTCAGAGCATGTATACCTTTTACTACTGTGGTCACGCAGCAGCCTCGGCTGTTGCACGAATGGGCAGGCTCGTCCGGGTAAGTACCACGACCTCACGGAAGACCGGCGTAAAGTGCAAGTGTTGCACTTTTGTGTCCCGTCTGGTGACTGAGGTAGCCGGGGCTCACTTTATTTAAAGGTGGCAACGCTTCTGCAACCCTACGAGTGTTGAAAATGTCCATGGGCGCCGATTATCACTTAACATCAGGTGGAACGCCAGCTCGTTTGCCACTTTGTCACATAAAAAAAAACCGCTAGAACAATATAAAACACCCGATGGGCCGCACTGCACAAGTATCTTTCATAAATAGCTGCGAACTTTAGTTTGTCTTGCAGTCGCCTGACGGATATAACCGGGCGCCATTGAGAAGCCATCCAATCCTAACCGACGACCTCATTTTTCCGTTCCACCAATCGCTATATTGGTAGCGTAAACAAATAAAACCGGCCATGTGCGAGTCGGACCCGCTCGCAATGGGTTCCGTACCATTATCTATGAAAACACCCAAAAGCGTCCGTTGTATGGGAGCCCCGCTTAAATTTTTTAACCGGTTTCAAAAAAGAAAGAGGTTTCTCAATTCGGCAGTATAATTATATATTTTTTTGTGTGTGTTCGTGGATAACTTCGTCGTTTATGAACCGATTTTGATGATTACTTTGTCGTTGGCGAGGAGATAGCCCAAGGGTGGTACCATGATAAGGAAACCCGGGACTGATGTGCCAACATCCCAGAGAAATCGAGTGCAATCAAAAATCCTCAAATATTATAAGTATTAACATTAGTTTCCCGTTCCTGTTAAAGTCGGTTTTTTTTTTTGGTATTTTATTCTATTTTTAGTAACCACTATTTTTAGACAGATGGAGAGACAGACAGACAGCGGAGTCGTAGCAATAGGGTCCCGTTATACCCATTAGTTACGGACCCTAAAAACTGTCAAAAAAATTTTAAACGCCATGTGAATATTTAAAAAGTTAAAACTCACAGTCATCAATTTACTACGGATTGCAGAATTAAATTTTATAAATTTTTGTCTAGACATACAGGACATGAATGTTTGTACGATACCTTGAAGATTGTTTGTACAAAATTGTTCCTTTGTTTCTATTGCATTTTTGCGCACAGCTGTACATTTGAACAGGTGATGCGGAACTACGACACCATAGACAAGGTTTTCGATATTTATTAATTCGATAAAATTAATAAATGAAACGCAAAGGATTTAGATAATGTTAAAAAATAATATAAGATCTTTACATTATTTTATATCATATCATATCCTTTTGATCAAAAAGTTTCCATCAGAAATCATCCTTTTGGCAACTCGAATGATATTTGAAAAGCCATTTGACAGCTGATTAGTTAATTTCTACAATGATCAGAGTTTCAGAAACCGGGCGTCAGTCATATTTTTTATTTTTTTTTATTTCACACAAAATCCACAGATCTTTGTTACATCGTACATACATCTTATGATATAAAATTATAGCCAAAAACGGATTTACATTATTAAAGTAGTATTTTAAATTTTAACGGACATTTTGAAGTTGTTGGGACTAAAAATACATATTTTTATATAACAATTTAATATGCTTTGATTATACAGCGTGTCGTTACCATCGCGACAATAAATGAACACACGTCTAACGCTACTTGCCAATAATCATAAAAAAATATTAACGTAAAAAAATATCCATAATTAAATATTTTTCAAACAAACTAATTAAGTAAAAATGAAACAAAATTTGTAACATCCTATACTGACTGATTCAAACATTCAGAGACTTTTTCATTCGTTGTCACCGCGTCGCATTACAAGCCTCTCCTTCTAATATAATACGCTTTGTGATTTTTACAAATGAACTTTGCGTTACAGTTTTATACGTACGGGTGTTCTAAAATTCTTTGTTTTGGAAAATTTAATAACTCTGTAAATATTGATGTTTAAAGAATATATCTATCCTCTATATGTGTGTTCATTTATTGTCGCGTTGGTAACGACACGCTGTATACTTGTAAACAAGTATGTGCGGCGTGTCTGTGGCTTTAACCACTGAGATAAACGGCCGATTGCCGACATTGGCTAAAATCTCAACGTCTTTTACATACATTGCCACATGTAAGTGGTTTTGCGTAGATCTTTTACGACCGCAGGCGTGACGTCAACCCCCCTTTCTACCGGGTTCCCGCCTTGATGTGACGGAGGGGCTGAGTAGCCGTGGCTTCACCCACGGCGAAACGCACATAAACGCGCTGGCAACACTGTATACCGGATATGACGTTATCTACTCGAGCCAAGGGACTCATGGTCGCATGAAGCAGCGGTCACTTGGATTTCGACTGCGTTCCCGGACGGTGATATAACAACTAGTGATGCTTGTCGTTATAATAGTTGTTAATATTCAAGTTCAGTAATAGTTAAAATATTCCGACCAAGGTAAAAACGTTAGAACTCTTATAAGTCGTTGTATGATTGCCCCATGCCGTTGGTTCGCACTATGTCATTATAAAGGTACAGATTAAAAAAATAGGCATGTGACGTACACTTTTTCAAACAACAACTAATTCACTTGTGTAGTATTCGAATATTTCGTAGACACCTACTGAATGCGGAAGAGTCGACCTTTAATATACAGCTTGAAATATGTCGTTATGCGAAATTCGTCTTTATGCGAATTGCGTGAGGTCCTGTTTACTTCACTAGGGCGCGATGTAAACAAACATTTAAAACGAATGACTCGAAAAAGTAGCGACATAACGACATTACGTATTTAGATAGTGATATAAGAATGATGAACAAAATTTCGTCTCAATGGCGGTAGCAAAATTAGATTGAGGTACATATATTTAATTTTAACAGTTGACGAATAAATTATAATCGTATGTAATTATTTTAACTTCTGGCGCAGCATAATGCTGAGCTGCCAACAGAATTTACCGATAATACTTGTAGGGCGTTCAATTAATTCTTTTCAGTTTATTTTGTTACACCATAGATTTAAATTTTAATTTTGTATTGCTTTAGCGTTACTTTAGTATGTATTATAATAATATTTTTTGATAAACTTAAGCTTTTTCTTGAGTGCAGTGTCTGGGCGCTTGATTTAATGAGTTACACTAGAGCATCCCGAATTATAATCGCAGTGCAATTGAAATTGTAAATTGCAATATCGTTCGATTTAAGCGCAATCATCAACAGAGAAACCGACAAAACTACGTGTATATTTCGGCACAAACTTTTACACAACGTTCTCTAGTCCCAAACTGAGCAACCCTATTACTATGGGTACTAGATAACTGATAAACCTACTTAAACATACTTTCCTTTTGTAAATAAAGACACATATATATATATGAAATTTCCACCGACAATTGACTCATCATGATATCTCTGGAACCATAAGGCGTAGGGACTTGAAATTTGGCAGGAAATCTCTTTCGCCTAGGTCAGCTAAGAACGGATTTGACGAAATTCACAACAACGTTTGTCGGATCAGCTAGTATTATACATATATAAATACCCAGACACTAGAAAAACATCATGTTCATCACACTACATTTTTCCAGTGGTGGGGAACGAATCACGAACGTTCAAATTGAAACGCTCCGGCTGTTTGTCTGGATGGTCTGAGAAGAGTTTCTTTTGTATTACAGAACGATGGGCAAAGACGAGAAAGAGGACTCGGGCTTCGGTTTCAAGGACAAGGCGAAGGCTGAAGAGACCCTCAGGCTACTTGAGCAGCATGAGCCCAACTACAGGAGGCTCACTGTGAGGGGTCTCCTGGGCAGGGCGAAGAGGGTCCTCTCTAGTGAGTGCAGCCACATTTTTTTTATGTGATAACTTGCTAAGCGAGCAGACGGTTCACCTGATGTTAAGTGAATACCGCCGCCCATGGACATCTGCTGCACCCGAGGGTTGCAGATGTATTGGCAACCTTGTGAAATTGGGCTCCAGCCACCTCACTCACCAGACGAAACGCGAAAGTATTATACTTCCACTTTACGCCGGTCTTCTGTGAGGCCGTGGTACTTACCAGGATGGGCCTGCCCATTCGTGCAACAGCCGAGGCTGCTGCGTGGCCCGACCAAATTTCAACCACCTAAATCTATGACGGCTTTTTTATGTATGTAAGGAGATGGCAAGCGAGCTAGCAGTTCATCTGATGTTAAGTGAAAACCGGACACTTGCAACACACGCAGGGTTGCAGATGCGTTGCCACCTTTTAATATTTGAGTGAGTGTATAATCGTTATTGAGCCTGATCGTTTATCGATTACCCTTCTCATAGAACTTGGAATCGATAGCTGCATGGTTATGATGTATTGTCAGATTATAATACGAAACTAATTACGTTGGTTTCTATTAAGTTAATCAGTTGTTAATATGACTACGAAAGCCCTTCCACCGCGAAAACTTCAAGTCTATACTCTTCGATTATATTTCAAAACCGATTTTCGATAGTTTTAACGTTGCTTTCACTAAGTGGGCGGGGCACATCCTTGGTGTACGAAATTATCTAAAGTATATTTACTATATTTACCGCGAAAATAATACGATATGATTTGTTGAATCTGTCAAAAATTTGACAAGGTATAACGTTTCTGGCTGTTCCTGTGTGACGTCTTTTTTTTCTGATCTGTGCGTTGTCTATGGCGCGAACAATAAGTTTGCACGATATGTGCTCGATCTATAACTCGTAATGACCATCATCAGTGACAAAATCAGAGGAGAAGATAAAGAACATAAAGGAAGCGATGGAGGTTTTCGAGAATTGGCTGGCGGATTTGGAGAAGAACAAGGAGAAGAAGACTGAAAAGAAAGAGACCAAGAAGGAGGGCAAGGAGAAGAAGGAAAAGAGCGAAGACAACGAAAACGAAAAAGTAAGACATACTTCTTCTTTCTTCTAACCAAATTCCAACTAGGTGGGGCGGCACATGTGAATCATGATACTGGTCAAATTTTTTCAAAAAAATCAAATTTTTGGTCAAAATTTTTTAAGACTGGCCCACCTGAAGTTAACCGTCCCTTATACAATCAGCCAGTACACGTAAATATTTGTCCCGTGTTGGAATCGAACCCGTGACTCCCGCGCCGAAGACAACGCCTTTGCATTAGCTTAGAATACAATTACTTCTGCGTTAGATGAAGCTTCAATAGTCTCGGGACTGAAAGCACAAACATCAGATAATACAAGACTAGAATACAAAAATAACGTCTTTTTTTAGTGTTGCAATATCGACATTGCTAAGTAATTTTTTTCTATTACTTCGATTTAAGCAACTCTACAAATTGCGTATGCCAGTCACACACAAATACCAACCAAGATTTTAATAAGAGAATTTCCAATGCTTGTTTTATAACTTGATGTATGAATTCAAGCTAGCAAGCTTTGTAGCATTGCTATTTGGGAGACTCTAAAATAAATGGACAATGCTTATGCCATTTACCTTTAGTATATTATAGTACCTTTTTAATTAAAACATTCCGGCCTTTGAATTCGGCCGAGTGGGCAGCACACGGTCACGGTGAGACTTGCGTTCACGACTTTTAATAGACTAGTGACCCGCCCCGGCTTCGGACGGGTGCAATGTAATGAAAAATACATTAAACCTTACCCTTGAATCACTAACGCCCGGTTTCTGAAACACTGATCATCGTAGATGTCAACTAACCAGCTGTCAAATGAATTTTCAAATGTTACTTGAGTTGCCAAAAGGATTGTTAAACTCTTTGAATTGATCATTCTGAGCATTAAGAAGATCATTCTGAAACCGCACGTCAGTGTTTCGGAAACCGGGCTCAGTAAGCAAATTGAAGGCAATTAACTTATCTTTATTTCTTGCGAGTCTCTTGCGAATAGTGCTTCCGTAAGCCCACAACGGTCGGACCTTACCGCTCCCCCAGGAGTCAAGTCCGGACGTGGAGATGGAAGACAGGTCGGTTGGGAAGAAGGAGCTTCCGCCAGACACTGTGCCGGGGCTGGGCTTCAAGGATAAGGGCGCGGCGGAGAGCACGCTCCGCGAGCTGGAGGGCCGCGATCCCGACTACCAGAAGCTGGCCGTCAAGGGTCTGATCGGGAGGGCGAAGAGGGTCCTCACGTGTGAGTAGCGACAACGCCAAAATTTCTTCATTACACAGTATAAAGAGCCGCGATAGCTCCAGTAGCGGATTTGCCCTAAGGCCCAATAGGCCCGGGCTTAGGGCGGCCACATATTAGGGGCGGCCAGTCGTGGCAAAAAATTCACTAATGATAACAAGATATACGATGGGCGCTGAGAAATGGGTGGCTGGAACCTTACTACATGTGCCGTTGGGCCTAGGGCGGCCAAGACTACAAATCCGCCACATAGCTCAGTGTCCGGACGCTTGCCTTTAATTAAATTTATTCGAGCAACCTGAGTTCGATCCCCCGTGGCGGCACCAATGAAATTGTTAATTTTAAGTGCTGAATTATCACGTGTTTGGCCGTAAAGGAAAACATCGTTAGGAAACCTGCATATTTTCGAAATAATAATTTAAAATAAAATGTTTAGAAAATATGTCAAGCCGCCACTTCTGGGCCACGTGGTGGACCATAATACCCTACAGAGGAAGCCTCTGCCTTTGACATATATAGGCTGTGTTCATTATTGCACAAATGGGCAGTTCCGTCCGGGTTAGTACCGCGATCTCACAGAAGACCTGCGTGAAATAGAACTGTTACACTTCTGCGTTTCGTCTGGTGTCTCAAATGTCCATTGGCGGCGGTTGTCACTTAACATCAGGTGAACCGCCAGCTCGTACGCCACTTTGTCACAAAAACACAGTCAATAATAAGAAGTCACACGTGGTAGGGCCAAGCAGCAACCTCGGCTGTTGCACGAATGGGCAGGCTCGTCCGGTTAAGTACCACGACCTCACAGAAGACCGGCGTCAAGTGGAAGTATAATAGTTTCGCGTTTCGTCTGGTGAGTGAGGTGGCCGGAGCCCAACTTTCAAAAAGTTGTCAACGCATCTGCAACCCTCGGGTGTAGCAGATGTCCATGGGCTACGGTATTCACTTAACATCAGGTGAACAGTTTGCCCGCTTGGCAACTCTTCATATAAAAAAAAATTCGCTTCCACCACCAAGGCAGGCGTCGTGTCGTGGGCCATGCCCTAATACCCCGCACACAGGAGGCCTTCTAACAATAGGACATATATAGGCTGTTACTGTTTAAGCCAATACTAAGTAGTTAAGTTAATACTCAGAAGTCGCTACCACTAATAAGGCACCCGCGACGAGACGAAGATATCCAACATAAAGGAGGCGGTCGCGTTGTTCGACAAGTTCCTCGACGATTTCGACACGATGCACCTGAGCAGGCAGAACAACCCCTACGTGCCATTAGGCGTAGTGCGCTCGTGTCTCAAGATGGCGGCCGACCTGCCGACGGAGCAGCAGGTGACAGTCTACCGCCAACTCAAAGGCTCCCAATAGTTCTATGCCCGGTTCCTATATCCAACGGACGGCCGTTAGTTACATAGCTTCGTAACTTTCATAACGACTTGTAGATAAAAGTCCTTACGAGCCGTTGCATTACTTATGGAAAGTAAGCTACTAGCGTTCCTTTAATCTACAAGTCCTTATGAAAGTTACGAATGCCCGGTGCCTATATTCAACGTCCGTTCGTTGAATATAGGAACCGGGCATTGGTGTGGTAGCAACTTTAACGGTGGTAGGGCCACGCAGCAGCCTCGGCTGTTGCACGAATGGGCAGGCCCGTCCGGGTAAGTACCACTACATCACAGAAGACCGGCCTGAAGTGGAAGTTTTATACTTCTTCGTTTCGTCTGGTAAGTGAGGTAACCGGGGCGGATCCATCTGCAACCCTACGGGTGTTGCAGATGTCCATTGGTGGCGAATATCACTTAACATCAGGTGAACCGCCAGCTCGTTTGCCACTTTCTCACATTGAATAGGGTAGCGGTGATACACATGCTAATCGCCTGTTAGTTTGCTATTTTTTCTCATGATAATTTGTAGCAACCCAAAATAATTCAACTTCTTAACCGCTCCGGGACTTGGAGCACTAAGCTTTGCCCCTTGAAATACCTTGAGAAACACAAATACCTTGAAATATCAAATTATTGTTAGAGAAGCTGAGAGCCGAGCAGCCGGGGTCATATTCAACATTAGATCATTGCATTGAATTTATGTTAAGAGATAATTAAAATAAATTATATTATTATGGCACAATTATATAATTAAATAAATATTTGTGCCATAATAATATTTATTATTTGCTGTATCAAAATTTTTTAAAAGTTTATGTCCTAGGCTTAACGCCGCGGCTGGTGACAAGAGAGCTGGTTCTTTTCTCGCTCAAAGCATAACTATTAAGCATAACTATTCAGCGAGGAAATGCAGCTAGCGTTCTTGGCACCATGCGTGCAACGCGTGGATTAGGTTTATTAGATAATATGTAATTTTAGATAGATTTAATCTTGTAAATATTAGATCAGTAATTAATAAAATAAATTTATACTTTAATGTTTGAATAAAAAAAATAAAAAAAAGAGATAATTTAATTCTTTAATTTGTTAATTAAACCTCTTAATTTTATTTCAATTAAGTTATGTGGTTAAATTAAAAGGTAATTTACGGCCGTTCAATATTCGATCTATACATAGATTTGGTTACCGGAGTTAGAATTTTGACGTAAGTATTATGGCGCTAATGTCAAACACCTATCGCTAGTAACCAAATCTAACTGTAGACCCTTCACTAGACGCTAAGACGAAAACAGAGAACATACGAACACTTGCAGTCTACATTATACCGGTATTCAGTGACTCGGTTCACACTGACCATGGAACAGTTAAACAACAGTTTATTCTATTTTTCTCTCTCTCATTTTAATAAGCACTGGGACGTTTATTCCCTGTGTAAAAATACTTGAGACAAATACCATATAACTAAATTCTTACCATAGTAATACTTTGTGGGATGCTCCTTACTCGTTGAATAAAAAAAAACTTCTATTTTCGGTGATTTAAGAAGTGATAATGTATTATTCCAGAAATCTTTCATAGCGGCGTACAGCTCAGTGAATGGTGAATATAAGCGTCTCCGCACTGTGGCGGAGAAGGAGGGCGGGAAGACCTGGGACATAGTAAGGAATGCTGCGCTCAAGGAGCTCAAGGAAAAGGTAAGAACAATTTATGTATGGTATGTTATAGAAATATCTCTGTGCACTGAACACATTTCCAGCTACCTTCAATCACATATTTTTCTCACCAGGTTAGCTGGCGGAGAACTCATGCATTGAGTTAATCTTACCTTTTGTACATTACTCATATTTTTAATTTTTTTTGTATCCTGTGTTTTGTGTACAATAAAAACATAAATAAATAATAAATAACCCTCGGGAGTGGCAGATGTCCATGGGTGGCGGTATTCACTTATCATCAGGTGAACCGTCTGCTCGTTTGACAACTTTTCGCATAAAAAAAAAAAAAAATAAATAAAGAAATAAGAAGCGAAAATCCGGCCCGAAGGACCGGTAATAACCTCGAAAATATGCTTTAAACCTCCGTACTATTCAACACCTACGGTAACCTTTGATGACTCCCGTGGCATAGTTGTTACGGTATTGGCTTCGGTCCAGGGGTTCGTAGTTTCGATTACCACTTGGGATAACTATTTATGTGACCCACAGCATCCCAGAGAAATCGAGGGAAATCCTCAAATGCTATAGATGTTGACAATGTTTTTAGTTTCCTGTTTGAATTCGGTTTCTTTTTTATTCAAAATTATTTTGTCAGTATAAAATATTGACATCATATTAAAATATTTAACATTTTTTTTACACAGCTTTGGAGCGATCAACTCATTCCCAGGGGTTATTATCATTAATGAATTAATTTATAATAACCCTTTGTATAAAGTTTTTCCTTAATAAATTTCTTAATACTGTTAATTGGCAGGCTTTGCACATTTACTGGGATCTTCTTGTAGACGCGTACGAGCATACCGTCCTCCGCGTAAATCGTACGTTGAAAATAAAAAAGAAGAAATAGACCAGAACCGGTTGAAACTGACCTAAATTAAAAAAAAAAGAAACTGATTTAATCATAAAATACTCCTCCCCGTATTATACTATACTCGTCACTTGTTTTAATAGTAGAGTATTTGCAAATTAATTTGCTTCTGCAAAGTTTTATAATATATATAAATAAAAAATTACAGCATGCCGATGCAAAACTGTTCAACGAAAAAGACGAGCCGACGACGGAGCATCTGGAAATGTTACTGTGGGCTTATTCACCCGAACTGGCCCGCGTTAAAAAGACAATACCAGAGACTAAGGAAGATACAGAGAGTGAAGATAAGAAGGAAGACGAGAAAGAGGAGAAAGAAGCCAACAACCGCAAGAGAAGAAGTAGCGCGAGAGACGATGACTCGCCGAGTAAAAAGAAAAAGGATTGAATGCGTCAATCATGAAGTATTCATAAAAGTACATTGTGCAGCAGCATTTAATATTAATTAAAAGTAATAATTGATAAACACGGTATTTTAATTTTTTCAACCCTTGAGTAGGTAAATTTACAGCGTGGCGTTACAACCGCGACAATAAATGAACACACGTCTTGCCAATCATAAAAAAATATAAAATGCATAATTAAAAAATACATTTTTCAAACAAACTAGTTAAATAAAAATGAAACCAAATTTGTAACATCCTATACAATTACAACTGACTGATTCATACATACCGAGACTTTTTCATTCGTTGCCACAGCGTGACATTACAAGTCACTTCTTCTAACAATATGTTTTATCTCTTTTAAATTCATTCCAGAACCGTGATAGCTCATTGTCCGGGCGCTCGCCTTTAATTACAATTACTCGAGGAACCTGAGTTAGATCCCTGGTGCCAGCACCAATGAAATTGTTAATTTTAAGTGCTGAATTATCACGTGCTCGGCGGTGAAGGAAAATATCATGAGGAAACCTGGATATTTTCGAAATAATAATAAAAAACATATTTCGAAAAAAAATTGAAGTTCGCCAATCCGCAGTGGGGTCGCGTGGTGGACTATGGCCCCTATACTCTCTTTACAGAGGAGGCCTTTGCCCAGCTGTGGGACATTTATAGGCTGTTACTTTAAATTCATTCAACCCATTCATATGCTTTGTGAATGTGACCTTTACAAATGAACTTTACGTTACTACAGTTTTATACTTAATGTTGTTCTTAAATTGATTGTTTTTGAAAATATAATGACTCGGAATTATTGAGGTTTAAAGAATGTAAATGTTTAATACAAGTTTAAAAATTTATCCTCTATTTGTTTTATATTTATTTTGTGGTTTTCTATTCGTTAAAAAAAGAAAATATCAAGTCATACTTAATCTGTGGCTTTAAGTTTTCAGTTTCAGCCCATCGATCTGACATTTTGATTTTTTGACGTATCATTGTAAACACCGAGTACAATGAACCTTTGTAGATTTCTGTTAAAATATCCTTGGTGCCGCCAAGTTATAAATGAAAAGTGTCTTAAGACGTGTTACATTTGTGTGTAAAGTGATTTGTGATGGCATATTTTACATACATGACATAAATATTTGCGGTTTAAAATTGGGCGTGTGAGCTAAGTCAAAATTGAAATATTTTTATATTTTATCAAGTTATGACACAATATATATTTATATTTGTTAAAAGTAGACTCTTTACTAATAGTTTTACATAATGAAGCTTATAATCTAGTGAAAAGGGCGTTATTTTTCGTTTTCTTAAATTAATGGTGATTTAAATCCCCGCCAAGTTTGACTTCAAGCTTAAGGGAGAAAAACTCGGAACTTAAATGATACAAACAAAGTTGAATGTTCAGCATTTGTGTTTATTAGTGTAACTGTGGGTTTGAACTATTTTTATACGAATATATCCAGTTTTTCGGTACTTTAAAACATGTGCGCAAGTTTTAATTAAACTCCGGCACATCATGGAAGCGAATAGCGAAGCCAGTTATTGTAAGTATCTCCTAAATATTGTTATTGGTTTACTTTAAAAGTAGAAAAGAATGTAAAAGTTAAGTGAAACTGCCTTTGCACAGGTTTTGATTGACTAGTTGAGTTACAGTTAACGATAAATTCATTAAATGTATTCATATAATAAATAATTTGAAATTAAACATGTGTTACATTATCAAAACTGCTTAAGTATTTCTTTTAAAGTATGAAATGCAAATTTGTAGATAAGTATTTTTACTTCAATGATACAAATTTGATTCATAATGGGGTACAAAATTTTTTATAGTAATTGATTTAAGAATGAAAATTATTGTATAATTTACATTTTAACTAAGAATTTCTTATGTTTCTTAAGAAGTCCATCAAGAGAAATGTAATAGAAAAATTCTTTCTATTACATTTATCAAGAGCCATCATCCAACAGCTTTATCAGTGCTACACCTTCACAGTGCTATAACTTCATATAGGTATTGAAAAATTGTTTCTCTATTTGTTTTTGACACTTAAAATGAACAGTCTAATCTCATGCAATAATATCCTCCAACAACAAATGACACATGTATAACAAATTGTCTGACTATCTCAGCTCAAATAAAAATTGACGAAACTTTTAAAATAATGTGCTCGAGTCTGTATAACATATAAAATAATGATAAATATATATACAAACAGATATGCGAATAAACATAAAAGATAATTAATCAATTATTTCGTAATCACAGTCAGGTACAATTTTTAATACCAATTGTTGTGTTGTGCTATGTTGCCAGATAAACTAATAAAATAATTTCATTTTACCAGGTGAACGTGAAACATGGGACGAATGGGGGAGTCATTCCTCACTCAGTCAACAGGAGGAGGTAAATAGTTTGTTTTATTTATTTCAATAATAAAAACAATAATAGAACTCCGAAATCCATGATATAGTGTAGCATTTTACAAACTAACTCATAATATAATAATATAATAATATTCAATTAATGAGCCATTACTTGAATCCAAAAACAACAGGTGTGGGGGGTCGTGGGTTCGATCCCCACATGGGAGAACTATTTGTGCGACCCACATAGATAGTTGTTTAGCATCTGGGTGTTCGTCCGTTTGATATTTATATTTGTAAAACTTTTTCTTTCTTTCTTTTGGAAATAAAGTAATTTGTATTTATTTGTATTTGTAAAACGTCTTTACAACACAGGATAATGTATGTTATCCTAAAGTAAGGGCAATGTTTTTAAAATATATATATATATATATATATATATATATACAAGAGATTTTCACCGATAATTGACTCATCATGATATCTCTGGAACAATGTTCTGATAACGGGCCTAATATGCACGTCGTTAGATAAAACTTGTGGCAAAGTTTTATTTTACTAACATCATTGCTTTACTCTGATAGCACTTGTAGTCTTGAAGTCTTGCTCCCTTTTAGAATTTCAAAATATTAATCTAACAACCAGTTTCTGAAACATTGATTATCGTAGATGTTAACTAATCACATGTCAAATGGCTTTTCAAATTTTAGTTACGTATAGGATGGTTAAACTCTTTGAAATGATAATTTCGGTCAACTCAAAGAGTTTAACCATCCTTTTGGCAACTCAAATGAAATTTGACAAGCCATTTGACAGCTGATTAGTTAACATCTACGATGATCGGTGTTTCAAAACCGGGCGTAAGACTGTTTGTTTGTTGTTAGCCTCGAGAAGACAGTCTCGCACAGGTAATGTAACTCTGGGTTTTGACATGGGACTAATGCATTATGCTGCGATGGGGATACCCGTTGCGATTTGATCCATATTAATTTTTCTCAACTTATTGTATTTCTTTTGTATTAACCCAATGGGATTTAAAATTATCGCAACGCCATCTGCATTCCCTTAACAGTCGAATCTCCTACCTACAACAACCTACAATTAGAATTCTTTAACTGTGGTAGGGACATGCAGCAGATTTCGCTGTTGCACGAATGGACAGGTCCGTCCGGATAAGTACCACGATCTCATAGAAGATCGGCGCGAAATGTAAATGTTATACTTCTGCGTTTCGTGTGGCGAGTGAGGTAAGGGTGGCCCCTTGAAAGGTGGTAACGCAACTGCAACACTTAACGTCTGATTAATCGCAATTCGTTTGCCACTTTCTCACATAAAAAAAATTCTCCCGAATTGCAAGACCACATGTAAGACCGTGCTCGGGCTTTACATCTCCTGTCTATAAAATATTGTTGCAATTTAAAAAAGAAGTTTTTTTTTAACCTTTCAATGCAAATATAATGGAATTTGCACACAGCGAAATGAGTAAAAATAAGTGTTCAGTAAATACACTCAATTTAAATAGTGTATACTCTAATCCAACAATAGATGGCGTCCTCGCAATCGATGTGAAGAATTATTTTTGGTAAATGTATTTATGTGATGAAAAATGCTATCTATGATAAGACTTACGCCCGGTTTCTGAAACACTGATCATCGTAGAAGTTAACTAATCAGCTGTCAAATGGCTTTTCAAATGTTATTTGATTTGCCAAAAGGATTGTTAAACTCTTTGAATTGATCATTCAGATCATTCAGATTGAAGACGAAAGACATTTCAGAAACCGGGCGTAACTGTACAAAAATATACTGTGTTTTCCGTAAAATAAATTACCTTAAACTATTTTCATGAAATTGACTAAGTTTTGTCAAACGTGTTAATCTAAATGCATAGATTTGTCGATCAATCAATCTCGCCTTTTGGCGAGCTTACACAGACTCCCCCCCCCCCCCCCCCCCCCAAATCCCCAACCGGCCATATCCCCCTTCTATTATTTAACTAACCCAGTTATAGTTAGTTAACGATGGGACGTTTGCGGCGGCAAGTGCGTAAATAGGTCGGCCATTGCGACAGACTGTGTGATTCTTTTGACGCGAGTTCAGGGAAGTCTGTCCGATGAAATGTATATTTTGCGTTTTGAAATTCGAATGAATACGATTTTGCTTTGGTATGGTTTAAAAGAGCCGTGATAGCTCAGTGTCCGGGCGCTCGCCTTTAATTCAATATACTCGAGCAACCTGAGCTCGATCCCCGGTGCCGGCACCAATGAAGTTTTTAACTTTAAGTGCTGACTTATCACGTGCTCCGCGGTGAAGGAAAACATCGTGAGGAAACCTGCATATTTTCGAAATAATAAAAAAAATATTTCGAAGATATGTGAAGTCCGCCAATCCGCAGTGGGGCTGCGTGGTGGACTATGCCCTGACACCCTCTGTACAGAGAAGGCCTTTGCCCAGCAGTGGGACATGTATAGGCTGTTACTTTACTTTTTTTATGGTTTAACGGTCCAGTATATAGTAGTATAGTCTGTTATACAGTCAAGTTACAAGTCTGTTATACTATACTATATTATAGTCATAAATATATCTCCTACTGCTGGGCAAAGGCCTCCTCTGTATTAGGGAAAAGTCCACC